ATAGTTGAAGATTAATTAGGATAGAAAGTGAATTAGATACATTTTGGACTTACCAAAATAGGATAGATAATGGAATTATTTTCTCTGATTTGTCAAATACAAATGGACTAGACATTGTTTAGGTATTTATTACTTGTATATATTGTATATAGTTATTGTACTCTTGTATATAGTTTTTCTTTTGTTAGTTATAACCTCTTTCTTTTCATTAAAATAGAAAGGGGAAATGTGGTGGTATTCTACTTGTACTGAAACGTGATTTTGATTGTATGTTAATAAATAAAGTTGCCTGGGTGTCAGAGCTATTAGAGCCATAGCAAGAGCGTGGCGGTGGTGGCACACACCTTTAATCCCAGTGCTTAGTAGACAGAACTAGATAGATCTCTGTGTGTTCAAGGATACAGCCAGCATTGGAGACATACACCTTTAAGACCTGGAGGGCTGTACTTACAGGCAGTGATGAGGCAGTCAAGTGTTTGGGTTTACAACCAATGAGAAGGCAGAACAGAAAGACTATGTAAAGACATACACACAGTAAGTAGCTCTCTCTCGGGGAAGCTAGGAGCACTGCAGGAGGAAGGGTAAGATTTTAGCTCTGAGCTCTGACCTCTTGGCTTTCTCTTTTACATTGGTTCTGTGTTTCTTATTTAATAAGACGGTTGTTTACATCTACAGAATGTACTGATGTGGAATTCTAGAGGCCACACAGAATGCGACTGGCTGCTGTAATCACCATGCATTAATTGACATCTATCACTATGGTCACCAAAAATAGATACATCTCAAATTTTCGCTTAGAGGCATGATTTTTTTGGATGTGGTAACATGTCTACTTACTCTGTATGTAATCATATGCTGTAAGTAAGAGAATTACTTGAGTCAGGAGCTCAGAGTCATCCAGGGCAATCATAGTGTTGCTGTTTTCTGTGGGCATGTCATGCTTATCACCGTCATGAAGCAGGGCACTATGGTGATTTACAGAAGACTGTAGCCATGGCAACAAAATAAACAGTTATACCTTCTCCAGCTACAATGAATCTTGGAAATGCTAAAATATATCAAGATTAAAAAAAATGAATGACAGAGGGGTGGGACTTTGCAGTAGTACAGCTGCCTTGAGTCACACATGTGCCTGTGAGTAATCTTAATAAACTCATTTACTCACCAAGCTGGAAATCCTTCTTTGGTCCGTCTTCTTCACTACTGGGGTAAATAGGCATTTCTTTTCCATCTCCTTAGGAATGTTGCACAACAGTAACATATGAGATCCTAGCCCTTTTAATAATAAGAACTTAAAAATAGATACAAACATTCATTCACATTGAACACTATTGGTGAGGATGTGAAAGGCAGATAATGCCAAAGCTAACTGGCAGGTGAGCAAATTGGCACCACCACCCAGAGGTTGTTTGATGAGAGCAAACAACCTTCCTTGTCCTTTAGCTTACTTATTCTTGTTCTCAATGTACAATATAAAGATATTAGCAGCTAATAGAAAGGGACTTATTTATGAGGATATTTATTGTGGTACTGTTTGTCAGAAATACTCAAATAAAAGCAATTGATGGGACTGATGAGAAGGCTCAGTGTGTGATGGTGCTTACCACCAAGCCTGAAAACCTGAGTTTGGACACTGGATCCCACCCATATGGTGGGAAGAGAGAACAGATTCTCAAATGTTGTCCTCTGACCTCCATCTGTACACTGTGACATGGGCATATGCCTCCCCCTTAAGAATAAATATATGTCAAAAAAGAAAGACCCACAATCCTAAGTTGTTTTTGTCAAAGACACTATGTAAGTGGCATGGTAGGGTTGCTTTGAAACACAGCTCTGCCAATGCTTATTCAGTCACATATTTATGTTTTTGATGTTGTGATCCCAATCCTAAGAGTTTATCTAAGACCAGTAAAAACATGTTCACCCAGAAGCCGGGCGGTGGTGGCGCTCGCCTTTAATCCCAGCACTCGGGAGGCAGAGCCAGGTGGATCATTGTGAGTTTGAGGCCAGCCTGGACTACCAAGCAAGTTCCAGGAAAGGCGCAAAGCTACACAGAGAAACCCTGTCTCGAAAAAAAAACAAAAAACAAAAACAAAAACAAAACAAAACAAAACAAAAACAAAACAAAACAAAACAAAACAAAAAAAAAACATGTTCACCCAGAAGCCTGTGTGCAAAGAGGGCATATTTAGTAACAATTGCCTCAAATCAGAAACAGCCTAATGTCTTATAATTGCTGAATGGATAAATGAACCATGGTATGTATCCCACAGGGTATTGATGATTAAAAGGGGCTGAGATTTTGAGACATGCCACATGTCTGACTCTCAAATACATATGTTCAGTGAAAGAAACTAGGTTCCTTCTGTCCTGAAACTTACCACGTAGCTGAGGATAACCTTGAGCCTCCAACTCTGCCTCCATTCCCTGGTGTTGAGTTGATTTATGTTTTTTAAAATTAGTATTTGTGTGTGTGCACATGATGTGTGTGTATGCCAATGGTTCTCAATCTTCCTAATCCTGCGACCTTTTAATACAGTTCCAAATATTGTGGTGAACCCCAACCATAAAATTATTTCATTGCTATTTCATAACTATAATTTTTCTACTATTAATATAAATATCTGCTACGCAGGATATCTGCTTTGCAACTCCCAGAGAGGTCACAAGTCACAGATTGAGAACCACTGATATGCCATGGTGAACATGTGCAGATCAGAGGACAATTTTGTGGAGTCAATTGTCTCCTTCCACCTTTATATAGGTTCTGGGGATCAAACTCAGATCTACAATTATACTGTAGTGGTTTGAAAGAAAATGGCCCTTAAAGGGAGTGGCACTATTAGGAGGTATGGCCTTGTTGGAGGAAATGTGTCATTGTGGGAGTGGGCTTTGAGGTCTCTTTTACTCTTTTGCTCAAGCTTCCCTCAGTGTGACTTTCAGACCATTTCCTGTTGCCTGCAAGATGCAGGACTCTCAGCTACATCTCTAGCATCATGTCTGCCTACATGCTGCCATGCTTCCCATCATGATGGTAATGAACTGAACCTCTGAAACTGTAAGCAAGCTACCTCAATTAAATATTTTCCTGATAAGAGTTTCCGTGGTCATGATGTCACTTCACAGCAATGGAAACACAAACTAAGACACATACCAAGTGCCTTTACCTTGTTAGCCATAATTGACATTTTTTTAAAACATTTTTTAATGATTTATGTATTGTTATTTTATGTGCATTGGTGTTTTGCCTGCACGTGTGTCTGTGTAAGGGTGTCAGATTCCCTGGAGTTACAGACAGTTGTAAGCTGCTATGTGGGTGCTGGGAATTGAACCTGGGTCATCTGGAAGAGCAGCCAGTGCTCTTAACCACTGAGCCATCTCTCCAGCCCATGACTGGCATTTTTAACTAAGCACCTGCACTGCTGTGAATGGAGAGCTAGGAGGAGGTGCCATGAAACAACACTTTTCAGATTGCCAGGGACATCGCTTACTCCCTGACCTTGGATCCATGAAGCTGTTTGTAGGAGTCCTCTCAGTTATATGCATACTCATTTCTGGAAATGGGAATGTTTTGAGATAGAGTCTCTCACTGTCCTGGAACTTGCCAAGTAAACTATGCCAACTGGTCAACAAACCCAGGGTCCAACTGTCCAGCCTTCCTAGTGCTAAGCACATACCACCACACCTGGCCTTTTACATGGGTGCTGGGGCTGAAACTCCAGTCCTCACGTTTATGGGGCAAGTACTCTACCACTGAGCCATCTCTGCACCCCTGTCTAATCTTGTGACATCGCTATATGACACTACTATCCACAGAGTGTCAGGCCACAGTCATACCTATCCTGGTATGTATGAGGCTGGTGAGTCCTAGGTTGGACATGCCTACTTAAGCCATCTCTACATGACTTTTAATACTCAACACAGTTGATGACATGTAAATAGGTTCTCTCTCTCTCCTCTCTCTCTCTCTCTCTCTCTCTCTCTCTCTCTCTCTCTCTCTGTGTGTGCGCGCGCGTGCACGCACATGTGTGCACATGCATGTGAGTGTCCATGGATGCCATAAGAGGGCATTATTTCCTGTGGAACTGGAGTTACAGGTAGTTATTAGCAACAATATAGGTGCTGAGAGCTAAACTCAGGTCCTTCGTAAGAGCAGTATGTGCTCTTATCAATGAAGCCATCTCTCCAGTCCCACAAAGTTATATTGTCTAGGGAAAAAGTCTTTGCATATTGAGTTTAGATGTTACTATGTTTTCCAGTACTTTCAATAATTGTTTGAGTCCATGGATATTAACTGCAGATATAAAGCACCAACTGTTTGAACAAATGCTTTCACAGTACACCAGCTTCATTCCAACTAAGGCAGGACAGAGATGGTACTGAAATAAAGTCAAACTGCTGTGTGACTTCTTAATACTGTAATTATGATCTTCAGACACCAGTGGAAGACCACGGCCACTGATAATCTCAGATGGAAGAAATGACAGTGAATTTCATGGAACCTGAGTCCATGAGCTATTTGGGAATTTTATGATTGGTCTTACACATTTTGCTTTATTGTCATGCAATAGGCTAAGCAATCCAGCTATATATTTATGTGTATAAAACTGTGTATACCAGAACACTCCAAGCAAGGGGGAGGAGCTCCATTCACGTGGGACCTGATGTATCTATGAGTGTGACAGCTTATTTAAGTGTTAACAGATATCACTGACACCCATTTCTGTAAATAAAGCCAAACCAATAGTTGAGAGGCTCCACCAAAACTCAAGACACATGAGGTGTTTTGTCTAGCACTTTAAGATGTTTGCTGACTACTGGGGGTTGTCTTTCTGTATGCTGTGAATATATGTTGTTCCCATTGGTTAATAAATAAGCTGCTTTGGCCTATGGCAAGGCAGTTTAGAGGCAGACAAGAAATCCAAGGAGAGAGACAGGAAATAGTAAGGGGGAGTCTGGGGAGACTCCAACCCACCACCGCCCAAGGAACAACATGTCAGCAGACCGGCAAAGGCACAGAACACATGGCAAAACATAGATTAATAGAACTTGGTTAATTTAAGATGTAAGAGCTAGCTTCCATTGGCCGTACAATTTGTAAATAATATTAAACCTCTGAGTCATTATTTTATAAGTGGCTGCAGGACTGCAGGACTGAGTGGGACCACATCAAGATACTCTGAACAGTCTTTTTCTTTTCTTCAATCTCTTCCTTTCATCTCTATCTTACTCTTCACTTTCTTTCCTTTCTCTCTCTTCCTCTTCCCATTCTCTCTTCCTGTCTCCCTCCCTCCTTCTCTCCCTCTCTCCCTTCCTTTCTTTTCTCCTCTCCCCTATCCCAAATTTTCTTCTATGTCTACCCCTTCCACATCCCATTCCTTCTCTTCCTCTTCTTCCCCTTCTTGGTGTAGCCCTTTGTTTGGACAGTTTCTTTAGGTCTAGTTCATGGCCACTCTGCCACTTCTTCCTAAACCTTCTGGGGTCAGATTGGACTCATCCTCTATCATAGGAGAGTTGAGAATGGAAAAAGGCACAAATTAAAAGAAAGCTTCCAAGCAGAGAAACATCACCCTGGCCCACCCCGAAGGACAACGTCGTATCAGCTTCTTAGGGACAAGTCCTCTCAGTGCCTGGTCCTTCTTGGAGTCAGCTAGCACTTGGGTCAGTTATGTAGGATTTCCTTAACATGGAGCTTCCCAGGGATGAAGACTCTGTTAAGGCTGTTGAGAAGTCCGTCTTCTTCCTTTCCTGCAATGTTGATCCAAGAGACCTCCCTCAAGCCTCTTGCATACACAAGCACTCTCTGGAGCTTCTCAAGGAATCTGGGACTCTCCCAGGGACCAGTGACAAGTCTGCCTCTGATCCCCATCCTGCTCCACTCCCTGAGGTGTGCCAGGTGACTCATGGATCAGTCATGCCACATACCTGTCACCAACAGAAAGGCTGAGTTCACCTGTACCATGTCATGCAGGACTACCTGGTAGTGCTGCCTGGGAACTCTTTACTCCCCATCCATCCAGAACAGGAACATTTAAATGTCAAGAAGGAAGTTTTACTTTGTTTTTGTTCTGTTTAGGTGTTTGGTTTTATTTGTTTATTTTTTAAAGGTGGATATTTATGCTAGTTCTTTAGAGGAAACAAAATTGGGTCCTCCAGGTAAAATGATCCCTTGTGCCTCTTCCACAAGCCATTTTCAGACAGATGAGCAAGAAACTCATTTAAAGCCCAGCTTAT